CCAAACTCCCTTTAAGAAATATGGCATTTTAACAACGCCTTAACATGCTGTGACACGTAACTCTAGAAACACAAGGTAAAGTGTGTCATGCGCCCACCGTCTGACTGTAATATAATATAATCCATAAAGATAAACTTTTGGACCATTTTGTCACCTCAACTCAAGAAGACAGTGAGAATGGAAGGCGGACCATTTTAATGTGTGTGTTGTGTTAAGTGACGGAGGAGAGAGGCACAGATTAGAGAAGCGATCAAGGCACTTTTAGTCTTTCCACACATTTTCTTTTTGTTTCACTTTTTACCACTTTCTCTACTTTTTTCTTTTTGTAATTACTGTATTGCTTATTCTCTCTTTCCTTCCTCCCTTCATTAATGTCTCTCTTTCTTTTTAACCATGCTAGCCATATGGCTCCGTGGATGGCAATGTCGGGCAGTCGGTCAGAGTATTGGATGGGATTCCATAAACACTAAACATTGTACCTTGTTAGCATTGTCACAGCACGTGTGTTGTTGAGGTTAGCATTTAGCTGACGTGCTGTACTGCAGTACTGTGGCTTTGTTTGTCCCTTCTCCTTCCATTGCTTCTTTGGCCCATTCTTTGTCTTCCTCCACTCTCCTTCCTTCTTTCATGTTTTAGACATCAGAGCAACTTACCCTTTAGATTCTCATGTTGACCCTGAGATTTACAGTTTGTGACTCTGTCCATCAGGAGGAACACGGACATTTTGAGTTCCTGTCGCAGTCCTTCCACTCCAAGTCCATCACTGGTTTGTCTGTCTGCATTCGAAAGCCCCTCGTGGCCACCAGCTCTCTGGACCACTCTGTCCGCATCTGGAACTACGAAACAAAGTAAGAGACAAAATCATACCTGAGCTCTTTGCTGTTTTATCTATGTTGAGTGATGTAATTACTTCATTTCTCCATGCAGTCTTAAGCATCACTTTTTGACTCATATAAATAAAGAAGCCTACTGTATTTATACTGCATGTTGAAGTTTGGTGAGACACGGTCTTCCCTGAGGGAGGAAAGGAGGGAATGATTTTACAGTCCTGACCTGGAATCAGTTAGAGGTTCTGCTTTAAGCGGTGCCCATCAAACACTGCTGCTATTAAAACATGATTTAGGAAAGTGACTTAATGTTCAGTGTTATTTGTGAACAGAACCCAAATAGCAGTAAACGCAGAGTAGGGCATGCTAAGGACTACAGTATCTCTTCATTACCTCTTGCTGTGAATTGTTGCCAGAGTGTTGGAGCTGTACAAGGAGTTCCAGGAGGAGGCGTACAGCGTGGCTCTGCACCCCACTGGCCTCTTCATCCTGGTGGGCTTCTCTGACAAACTCAGGCTGATGAACCTGCTTATCGATGACATCCGCACCTTCAAGGAGTTCACTGTGCGCGGCTGCAGAGAGGTGGGTCATATGTGTTCCCTCAGTGCGTCTCAAGTGCTGATATCACAGCTGCATGATGCACCTCAGCTCTTTTCTAACCATTTTCTCCCCCGTTCTCACTCCACACCTTAGTGCGCCTTTAGCCACGGTGGCCACATGTTTGCAGCTGTCAATGGAAACGTCATCCACATCTACTCCGTCACCTCTTTTGAGAACATTCTCAATCTAAAGGGTCATAATGGAAAGGTAAGTCAGACAGGAGAGTGTATCATACTGCATGTATCCCTTTGGTTGGGCAGTGAACAGCTGCACAGTGGGAACCATCCAAAAAGCTATAGTACAGTACAAACTTTTTTTGCAGGTGCGTGGCATTGAATGGAGCCTGGATGACAGCCGCTTGGTATCGTGTGGGATGGACGGTGCGGTGTATGAATGGAACACACAGACCGGCAAGCGGGAATCTGAGAGCGTCCTCAAGTCCTGCAGCTACACGGGTGTCGCTTTCTCTTCAGACTGCAAGACCATCCTGGCTGTGGGAACAGACCTCACTCTGAAGGAGATCCAAGATTGTCAGGTCAGTGACAACACACTACTGTACTTTACTGCTTATGAGTTTCTCTTCTGAGTATCCAGAAATTATAATGAGTGGAAGTGCAATTGTTCATGTAGGAGGGGAGCATTTGTCTTTCTTACTATATATAAATGATGTATTCTATTTGTCACTCACTTTGTCACTGAAACATTCATCATTGTCCCAGTGAAGTATTGTGATCATGAATGTGAAGGATTGTATTCTTTCCTGGATATCTTGGTCATTGGTTCCACAGGTCCTGAAGGAGGTTCCTGCTGATGAGGTAGCTCACGCCGCCGTGGCACTGCCTCACTCTGGTAGGGTTGTCTTCACCGGGACTTCCAGCGGAACCATCCGAGCCATTAAATACCCGTTACCCATGCAGAAGGAATGGATCATGTACCAGGCTCACTGTGGCCCCATCACCAAGGTTGGTCTAAATGTTGACGCACGCACTAAACTGACTATCAGAAATCGTCATGTCTAACTCTCTTTCGTCTTCAGATGGTGGTCACGTTTGACGATCAGTTCCTGCTGACAGTGTCTGAAGACGGCTGCCTTTTGATGTGGAAGATCATCGATAAGGAGGGCCGAAGACTGAAGAGCAACAGGCAGATCATCAACACTGAAGAGATCCTTGTCACCAAGTCAGACCTGGAAGAGAAGGTCTGTCTGTGTGTGTGTCTGCATTAGGTCTTTTTACTTGCATATCTGTCAACATTTTCCACAAGGTGTCCAGAATGTGGACTACACAATCTCCTTTTTCTTTGTATGCAGTTTTTTTGTCCTCCACTTTGGCCCAATCCACCTTCTTTTTTACATATAGACAGACAACCATTTTAGAGGCTTTAGAGCCACTGGACTAATGTTCAGCTGTTAAGCACAAGGTAGCTCTATCATGCTTTGAGGTTGTGTTGCAGCCAGTGGCACAGGAAACATTGCACGGGTAGGGGGAAGAATGGATTCCACTGAATATTAGCAAATTCTGGAAGCAAACGTCTCAGCATCTGTAAAAAAAGCTGAGAAGAGGATGGCCTCTACAACAGGATAATTATCCTAAACCTACCTCGAAATCCACCATGGACTACCTCAAGAGACGCAGGCTGAAGGCTTTGGAATGGCCCCCACAGTCCCCTGAGTTAAACATCATTGAAAATCTGTGGGTAGATCTGAAAAGAGTTATGTGTGCAAGAGAACCCAAGAATATTGCAGAACTAGAAGCCTTTTGCAAGGAAGAATTAGGAAAAAAAGAAGAATTGATAGATTTAACTGACTACAAAAAGAATTTGCAAGCTGTAAAGTACTGGCAATGTATGGTGGCCAAACATTTACACATGCCACAATGTTTTTATTATTGTTAAGTTTATGACAAAGATTTAACTATATTAATATTTGCTGAAAACATTGTGTTTCACCTTCCATATCCTTGACATGCTGTGTTTACATCTTTTCAATTAAAAAAAATATATATATATGTTATCCACCTGTGAACCTGTCTGTCTGTGTTGCAGAACCAGAACATGCAGGAGCTGAAGATGCGTCTGGAGGAGCTGCAGATGGAGAACGAGTACCAGCTCCGCCTGAAGGACATGAACTACAACGAGAAGATGAAGGAGCTTTCTTACAAGTTTACCCAGCAAATAGAATCTCTGACAACAATGCAACAGGTCTGCTGGTCACCTCACAGACTCCAAATATACTCTATGCCTTTGGAATAGATTGTATTATTATTTTCTATGTATAATATGTACTGTTCCTATAGACCATGAAGACAGAGATGGAAAAGCAGGAACGTGAGCACCAGGAGAGTTCTTCAGAGGTCGCTGCCAAACACGCAAAAGAGCTGAAGGATTTAGGTAAGAAGAGGACAGGATCAGTGTCAGCACAATATCTTTGTTTTCTACAAGGATCAATCAGTCTGTCTATCAATCATACACAGAGTTGTCCTACAGCCAGAAGCTGATTGTGGAGCATGAGAAGCACCAGGACCTTCAGCATAAACATCAGAAAATGCAGGAGGACTATGAGAAACAGCTGGAGGCAGCAGAGGAGAGCAGAACCCAGGCCCTGGAGGAGCAGACGCAGCTCTACGAGGCCAAGCTGCAGGAGAAGACTCAACTGCTGGCTCAGGTCAGTCCGGAGCAGCAGATAGTGGAGTGTTAACAGGGTGTCCACAGGCTCTTAAAAAGTCTTAAATCCAATAATCAGAATTTTAGTCCTTTAAATGTCTTAAAGCTGCAGTAGGTAACTTTTAAAAAAATAACTTTTTGTCA